ACAAAGACGTTTGAAAGCGATAAGTGGTTAAGACTCCAGGGGCATTAAACTTGACAGTTCACCCCACCTTTTCAATTTGAAAAATGGGAGAAAATGACATGGCCACTAAAGAGGACATACTCATCTTTTCAAACAGGGAATACCATGACCAATATAACAGCCATCCCATCCTCGAAAGGTTAATATACTTGGTTACATAGGTGCTGGCCTTGCTTGAACCTGTACCTGTCAACCTAGAAAATTTATTTTGGTTATTCATCTGTTTGTGAGATTATCATCTAATGCATGGGATAACCAGATTTTTAGCAAATTAGAGAAATTGATCATCTCCCATAACAATCATTACCATGATTATGAGCGTAGCTAGAAAGGGAAAAATTGCTCTGAAGTGAATATTCTAAAGACAGTCTGGCCACTGATAGTAGAGCTCTTGTTAGAAGACTATCAAGAAAATTTTATTTCCATTTTGCAAAATAAAAGAATGGTTCTTAGACTTCCCTCCCATGTCAACAATGACATTCTTTTTTTATTACCGATTGCAAATGTTCTGATCTTTTTGTGCTTTCTGGTTGCCTGTGTGGCAAGAAATGTTTAAAAAGCAGGAGACTGCAGCAAGATATTAAGCATAAAATATTCTAGTGCTCCTCAGTGAAATGGACTATTGTTATCTGCATATGTATTAAGTTTTTTGGGCCCTTGTGCAAGGGAAAAAAAAAAAAATCCCACACACATGGATTTCAGCTTAATAGGAGTAGACAGACATGATCTTCCAAATGCTAGTAAATACAGAATCCTTTCACCAGGTATTAATAAACATTTTTATAAAACCTTCATCACTTTGATCTGGGACAAAATATTATTGATTAGAAAGAAAAAAAAATCTTCACTTAGCATTATACATATCCTAACAGGTTGGGCATGTGGGGATTCTTCTATGCATTGCAAAAAACTAAAAAAAGATGAAAAGGGTAGAAATGAGCAGTGATGTATCTATGAGACTACTAAAGGGGTTAAATTTATTAATAATAGTTTATATTATCTGAAACTGTTTTGTTATTTCTTCAATAAAATTTAAAATGGTAATTTTTTCCCCAAAAATCTAATATACTTTACTGGATTTTTCAATAATTCTTCTCATTCTTTTCTTGATATGGTATTTCATTGAAAATTTTCCCACTCAGTCATGTTCGCTCAAACAATTCATGGTTGTATAAATAAATACTAGTACTTTGTTTTAATCTGCATATTTAAATATTAGTTGCAAGAAGTATTTCAGTGTTTTAAATATGTCTCAATCTATATGAAATTTTGTTTTACTTCCCTTTTTTTTGTCCATACATATAACAGAAATATTCATATTGATTAGTTACGTATTGGTGTTAGATATGAATAAAAAAGAAGTAAGAAATGAATTTCTTTCTTCAAATTTTCTCCAGAATGGAAGAAACTTGCTCATCCTATTGAGAAAACACTGTTTCTAAACACATACATACAAAATCTGCAGTATGTTAAATTTCATATGAAAGGGATGTGCCAGTTTTGAAATTTCTTAGGAACTATTCACAAATTTATTTAAGACTGAATTTCAGCTGCATTAAAATAAATTTTTTGTTCTTCTTCTGAATTCATTTATTCAAGCTTACAAAATAGGATACTGCATGCAATAGTCAAAACTATTCTGTTTTATAACATGGCTTTTATGATGATGCAAATTCAGTTTGGAATTTATCTTTTTTAATTTAATTCTGACGCTTGTTCTTTGTAAGTAATTATTATTTTGAAGTTTTTGCTATTAATATCAAACAAAATTCAATTTTAGAATCTATATAAGTTATCCAATGCAAAAGAAGATCTCATACCAAGTACATATAAATACATACACGCAATGTTATTACCAAGAAAAAGTTATTGTAAGAACTCAAATAAGACTAGTTAAATTGTAAATAAAGTTAAAATTCTTAAATTAGTAATATATCAGCATCATATATGAATAAAATAAAAGTTTCTTCCATTTTTTTACTAAGTGAAAGAAATCTATTTCTTCTGGCTGATATTTCCTGTCGTGGAAGAATTTTGCCAATCCTATACCATGGTTTTGAAAAGATTATTTAGAAATGAGGAGAAGGAGATATTATTTAGAAATGAGGATTTTTTTTCGAAAACATATAGCCTGGCATGGTTATGAGCTCATCAAAATGTATTTTACAGGTTTCTAAATTTTCGTTTCCAAAAAGCAGGATAATAAAAAGCCAAAACTCACAATCCAAAACCCACAGATAGAAAATTACACAGTACAAAGTCTGTAATCCGGATGTCCATAATCCGGACCTCAAAGCTACAAACTTTATGAGCATGCGTTTACACATGTGCATTTAATGTATAACGAACGCTATAAGCTAGGCTAAAATTATCCAAGGCTTTCAGTTAATGTTGCATATTGCGCTGTTCCTTAATCTTCTGATTGGATCCGGCTTATTATTTTTCGCAGACTGTTAGAATAACCAGCTTGAACTTTCGATTATGTCAAAAAAAGTTTCCAATTCTGGAGCTGCCAAAGGATCTACAAACGAAAGCATCTTTGATGTCATTAAACAAAAATGGAATGCTGCAAAAAACATAAAGGCCTATCCGTCTCAAATTATGCTCGAAGTATGGCATTGGAAAGTCCACTATATATGACACAAGAAAAGAACTTTTTGATTTTTGTGGAGCATCTTAACACTTTCATTGAAGAAATGTTTAATAAAGTAACAAATAAAAATTGAGCTTTTTTTTGTAAATTTTGATACCCTTTAGATCATAATTGTGCTTTATTTCATAAATTACGATTTCATATCTTTAATTGTATAATTTCTGCATGCCATCTTACCGGATTTTCCTAATCCGGATACCAGAAAAACCCCTAATCCGGAATCGCCAAAGTCCCGATGAGTTTGGATTACAGACTTTGTACTGTATTTATGATTTATAAATAAAATAGATTAAAACTAATCAGAATCAAACTTCACAGAAAAAAAATGGATAAAACCACAGAAAAAAACAAAGCGAAAAGAGGTTAACAGTCTAAGATAAGTTATATAATAAGCATCTGAAGAGTTGTATAGTGTATTTTCTGAAAAAGATGCATAAATAGTCTTCTGAATGTTGCAGGTGTCAGATGAATTCACCTCTCCTCCCACTTTGTAACAATTTAAAATGTTCAAGAAATAAAATAACTAGATATACAAAATTATTTGACTAATTCATTTATGTACTTTTTGATCATCTGACCTCCCCCTTCTTCCAATCGAAAAGTCCTGTTGCTGACTTTGGAAAGCATTTGTGAACTTGCTGGTGATTTATTCTTCACTAAATTAATACATGAAAGACAACAGCCATTTTCAGAATGGTGGCACACTAATAATCTTGCAATTAATCACTAAAATTTAAAATGCAAGAACTTCAGTAATGAAACCTTGCCTTCTTTGAGAAATCTTCTTAAAAAAAATCAGAAAATTACATAAACTTGGCATGATATAACTTTGTCATTATACACTGGCCAAAACAGTTGTGCTACACACATGCCTAGGTTAATACATAAATATTTTTTGGCTGTGGGTTGCACACATACCTATTTTGGTGACCCAGTGCTGTGCATCATGAATACTTTTTATCGGTAAGATGCAGATTATCAGAAATTTCAGTTTCAACTAACTCAAAGTCACTTCAAACATGCCTGTAATTTTCAATAGTACACTGGTCATTAAAATTAAAAGGTAATAGAATTGTTAATAGAAATTTGTATAAAAGCATTAGCTAAAATAAATTACAATGTTTGGCAGTTAATTATATATTGCAATTAAAACCAAATTTATGGAAAATGTAAAATGATGGAAAAATTAAATCACCTCATGTAGAAATTTTTTTCTTTAATATGGTGTACAGTCACCTTGCACAGATATGCATACTTCATATCTTGATTTCATAGACTTCACCAAAATGTTGATCAAGTCTTGTGGAATGGCACACCAGCAAGGCTGGATTTACGTATAAGTTACACAAGCTACAGCTTAGGGCACCCCCCAAAAATTGAAACAGTATATAAATAGTATTAAAACATATTACAACAGACTTATAAAGGGCCCCATATTTCAAATACCTTAGGGCCTTATCAAATCTAAATCTGGCTCTGCACGCCAGTCTTTAAAAAGTGACTTTTTAGCTCCTGAAAGGTCTAGGGAGGAATTTGGCATGCTGTGACAAATTCTTCCACGCATGCTCAGTTGGGTTCAAGTTGGGTGAGTAAGGTGGGCAGTCCATTCGAGTGATATCTTCTGTCTGCAAGTATTCTGATACCACATAGGCTTGATAAGGCCGAGCATTGTCATCCATATATAGAGCATTAAGATTAAGAGCTAAAAAGGTAAGGATTAGATTAAGAGCTAAAAAGGTAGCATAAGATTAAGGGCATAGCCCCGATCGTTGTAGCCAGCAAAAGTCGGCCGTATGACAAAAAAATGGAACTGGCCAGAGAAAACAAATATAAGAAAAAATAAAAAAAGTCCAAAATCTGAGTCTCATTGTCCAATTAAAATTCTATCCTTGTTCATATTTATCATTTTCATTATTGTCTGCAAAATCTTTCAAACTTGAATAGTTCCTTTTAAAATCTTCCTTAAAATTCTTTCTATATTTTGCTCTTGCAGACCGGGCAAGCGTACATTCATTAATCCGGACTCGTCAGGACTTCGGTGATTCCGGATTATCAATGATCAGTTTAAATCTGTAAGATGGCATGCAGAAATTATAAAATGAAAAATGTGAAACCATAATTTATGAAATAAAGAGCAATTATGATCTAAAGAGTATCAAAATTTACAAAAAAAAAAATATTAATGTTTATTTGTTTACTTTATTAAACATTTCTTTCAATGTAAGTTTTAAGTTGCTTCGTTTTATGTGATAATACTTTCTCTTTAATTCTATAAACAGACATAATTTCTTGTTCAGTTACAAAGTTCCGCTGTTCAGTCCTATAATTGCTGTGTCGAGAATACCGACTAATTGTCATCGAAATTTTTCATTTCAATAACCTTTCTGTCACTTTCTTTACTAGCGAAGTGGTACAATGAAACATGCTTGCTTTTGTGATCTTTGGCAGCTCCAGAATCGGAACTCTTTTACTATCGAAGCTAAGCTTGCTTTTTAAAATTGCTCTAACAGCCTGCAAAAAATATAAGCCGAATCTATTAGAAGATTAAGAACGCAATTTGCAAGGAAAAGATAATTAGATCATTTTAGCCTAGCTTATACCTTCCGTTATACATTAAACGCACATGCGTAAACATATTATGCGCAGAAAGTTTGTAGCTTTGAGTTCCGGATTATGCATGTCCGGATTAAAGACTTTTGACTGTATATATATATTTGGCAACTTCTACTAAGGTTGTTAATACATGCATATATATATATATATATAACCTTAGTAGTTAGTTAACAACCTTAGTAGAAGTTGCCAAATTTTCAGAAATCACCAAACTCTGGCAACCATGCACATAGCATTTCTTTAGGTAACTATATTCATTGTGTTAATGCAAAGACTGTCCCAAATCACCTTTTTTGGGTAAAGTGCAGAATGGTCCACTTATTTGTTTGGCGCTTTTTACAAAATTAAGAAGAATTGGATTTTTGCCGATTTTTTTTGACTTTTTGGAACTACTCTGATATGTGCCCTCAAGGCTCCAAATTTCTCGCCAAATACTCCACGCTGCCATATTGCTATCTAAATTTTTGGTCTACATTTCGAACTTTAAGCCTAAAATGTCTCCAAAAACACGGTTTTCGCGAATGCAACCACGTTTTGAACACACAATTTAAGCTAAAAATCCGAAACAAAAACAAAAAATTTAGATAGCAAAACCGTGAAAATTATTTGACAAGAGTGCATGTACACACCGATATGTTTTAACTTAAAAAAACATCTACGAATGGCACCATCTAGGCAACGAACGAATTTACGAACTACGCACACCTCGCTTTAATAAATTAACATACAACATAATTTCGAGAATACCCGTACACAGCATTCTGTTTCAACTTTAAAAAACATCTACGAATGCACAATTTAGACGGACGCACTAATCAACAAAATAACTAAAATAAATTTCAAACAATTAAAAAAAAAAAAAAAAAAAAAAAAAACAATAACGACAGAAATTCATACTAAAAAAACACTGAACAAAACATTCTACAAAACAAGAACAAGAATAAAATAAAATGCACTTACCATTAATGCTTTTTCGAACAGCAGAAATTCCAATTTCATACCGCCTTTAACATGCCGCCACGTAATCACTATCATACTTATATGACAGCCAGACACACTATCCAGAAAATTCATACTATGGTTCACAAATAAATAAAATAACAAATAATCACAAATCCCTACTTCTATCACGCACAGCCACTAAAAATAATCTCCCATACCTTCTTTCCATACTCCAAATACCCATTGCCCCCTCAACAGGTGGCCATGACGATATTTCCTTATGCCGAACTTCAATTCAACAATTTTTACCATTAAAATCTTTCCCCCCTAGCTTCTCGGACACAAAGCATGGCGGGAACCAACGAACTCCAGCGAAAGATTTTTCAATGTCAACAGGGTTGCCATACAACATGCAATCGTGCCAAAAACCAGCGCAGAACATATATCGCCACATTTGGTGAAATTAGAGCGTATATCAGAGTTGTACCGATTTTTTAAGTGAAAATAGGTCGATGTGTTAAGTCCAGGGAGTGCGCAATGCCATTTTTGTGCAATTCTGGGATTTTTTTTTAAAAGTGAAAATAGGTCGATCTCTACATGGATACCGATTATGTGCAATTCTTAAAAATGCACCAAGCAGTGGGTGATTCTGCCCTTTCTCCCCTTTTTCTTCTGTAAAAAACTGCCAAACTGGACCAAGATGTTTGCTTTAATATGTTAGTACTTAAAAAACTAAATATTTTAAATTAATAAATTCTGAAATTAATGACATTTTCAAAATAATTTTACTTAGAAATGAAACAAACAATTATACAGTAAATAACACCATTTTCTTACCTCTAAATTGATCAATCATCGCATATAATCACACAAACGATGATCTTCCAGTCTTATTTACACTTGTCTTACTAAAATAATAGAAAAGCAAAATTTAAAACATGCATAAAATTATTTTAAAAAAAGGAAAATAAAAAGAAAATAATGGAAAATTAAAACGCATAGATTATAAACACAAAATGTGAAAGCAATTTTCTCTTTAAATCAGATATTACCTTTTTCATAATAGTTCTTGAAGCAGTCAATTGTTGTTATCCTAATTATACTTTTGTTCTTTTTCAGACCAAGACATATTTCATTCCTACATTTCCTTACATGCAGAAGAACATAAACTTTAAAAATATTACATAAATTTTGAATTTTGTTGCTTATAATTTATATCTTCATTAACTCTGCAATCTTCTGAGAAAAATTTTTAAATAGACTATTATTACTAGAAATTTTATTGTGGCAAGTTATGCCATGAAATGTATTCAAAGTTACCTCCTCGAGCACTTAGAATTGATACTTGATGAAGCATAACCACTGCAGTAAAATTTTATATTCCAGTTAATGACATAGATTATTATATTTCTTATTTTCCAGTTTTTCTATGAGAAACAATTAAGTTAATTGAAGTAATATGATATTAGGATATAAATATGACAAAGATTTTACTTTAGACTATCAAACTGATGAACTGCATGCAGCTGTTCTAAATCTTTAACTATTGCTCTCATTTCTTCCAGAATCATCTGCGATTCATTAACACTGCCATTACAATTTTTGAATTCTTTTACTTCCACTGGCATATTATCAATATGGCTGGCAACATTTATGCCAGAAAATATGGAATCTAATTCTGTGCTTATATAATTGAATACATTAAGTAGACTTTCTTTCACTTCCTTGAGGCAACACTCTTCATGATGCATACCCATAAGATCACTACCACTCAGTGAAAGGTGATCATCTTTAATGGAAGAAGTACCACACTGTGAATCAGTTCCCAGAATATCCGATTCTTCTCTGCACATGTGACGTATTATCTTAATTGTTCCTAAACCAACGCATAAAGTTTTAGCTTCACCATTTACAAAATTTTTCAGTACAGTCAGACCTATTAATTTCTTTTCTGCTTTGCATTTCTTCAAACAAGAAGATGAAATATACAATTTATTAGAAAAATCTTCAGTTAGAGGATTGCTGTCTAGCTCTGGTCTGTTTCCCATTTTAATTTCTTGAATAAATTCAGCAAATTTATTACTGCTTTCTAATTTTACCCTCATCTTAGATTTTAAAGCTGAATCAGATGCTACTAATTCACAAAGATTATTATCATATGTTAATATTTTGCAAGCATTTTGAATTTTACTTAAAATGGGAATCAATTCTGGATGCTGTTTTAAAAAATCAGCACTATTCATATCAACACATTCTGAATTTGAATCTCCTAATTTTTGAGACTGCAGAAAATTATGTGCAAGTGGTCTTAATGAAGTAAGGATTTTTATTTCCTCAGGTGTCAACAGATCTTTTGAAAAATTTTTTAGGAAGTACTCCTTAATTAAAATATCAAGAAAATAAATAGCACTTAGGCTTTCAGGTAAAATATTTAAAGACATACTAGAATTTGCACTTTCTGTGTTGTCATTAGATGTATCATTACTAACAGCTGACGTGCTACTATTTTTCATTTCACGCTGTGAACAATTATTCAACATTGAGAATACCTGTTTACACTTTGACAAAATATGTTTGAGCTGTTTTGTTCTGTTGCAAAGCTCAGAAACATGTTGAATCGGCATGAGGCTTTTGTCCAGAGAATCACAACCACGAGCATATTCAGAAAACTTGAAAGAAGGAAATTCACGCTTTGCCAACCATTCTAAATAATATTTATCTTTTGATTCTTTGATAGCTTTTGAATAACGACAGTTCCAACACATGTGCTCTTCTTCCTTACCAATAGATTTTATATTAAGACATGCACAATGCTGCCAAGTTTTGCAGAAATCACATTGAATCATTTTACCTTCATCAGCAGTACTATTACAGATACAAACTACTAGGTCATCAGCTTCATATTCTAAGTCATCAACATATTCTTCATCAGACAACAGAGGAGTTTGAGGAACTGAACAACCAGATGTTAACTCCTTAGCATCTGCAGAATATGTAGTGATTTTTAATGGGCTGTAATGGGAATCCTTCATCAAATCTGTGTCTGCTGATTCATTTTTAGACCTAGACCGTCTGCGTTTTGATTTCCCCATCCAAGCAGGTCTTCTCATTTTTCTTCTCATGTATAAATTTGTTTTATTTTCAGAAGTTTCTATCTTTGCTTTTTCCAAAATTAATTTCTTATGACGTGTATTCATTACATGACTGGATACAATTGATGGAGAATCTACTTTGTTAATTTCTTTTTTGATGTGGTATCCAGCATCAGGTGAACCAAGTTTACCTTTCTCAGCTTTTTTAATTGTCTGGGATTCGCTCAAAATTTCTTCTGGCAACGAAAGTTTAGAAAGATCAGGACCAGTTGGCAATGAAACACCATTGGTTTCAATAGATGTTCCACGAGAATTATCAGGATTTTGCTCAGCAAATGTATTCACTTGCTCACTCAGAAGATCATCAATTCCATCTTGAAACTGATTTATTGTTTTCAAGTCTGGATCTCCCACAATGGCATCAGTGGTTGATAAAACTTCCGCGGAGTTTGAACAAGCTTCAGACTGTAAATCAGTCGGCATAATTTGCAGATTTTGAGAGCATATATTGCTTCTGGAATCTCCAATTAAATCACTGTTGATTTCACTGGAAATATCTGCATTTGAAGATTTGCTTATATCAGATGGAAATTTTTCTAATTGTTCACTAAACATACTTTTCCATCTCTTACTTTTATTTATCAGTGGTATTTTACTATCAAACTCTAAATTGAACTCGCTGTTTGAAGAGTTATATATTTTATCTTTATCTAAATCCATTTCATAATTACTCTCATCCTGACAAACTTCTAATGAGTTCACATTATTCTCACATAACTCCTTTTTAATTACTTTATTATCTGTTGTATCTTTCTCAACAGATTTAAAATCTGAATCGTCTTTAATATCTAAGTGAAGTTTTTCATTGTTTATATTAGATGTATAAGCTTGTGATGCTCGTTTCTTCCAATGAGTTATTTTAGTTTTGATGGGAGATTTCTTTTGTACAGGATCATTGCATTTTACTTGAACTTCTGTCTGAGGAAAATCTGACTTTTCCTCCTTTTTGTTTGCCTTTTTCAAATTATGATATCTGGAAAGCCCATGAAGTGATTTTGTTTCTTTGTTTGAAACCTGCATTTTTGAAGCTGAAGTACATTTGAGATTATATGTTTTCTTCTGTTCTGCTGAAGGAATCTGATTATTCCTGCCACAACTTGAATTATGAATCTGTTTAATTAATGGTGTTGTTAGAAAAATTTCAGAACTAGCAAATTTAGCTGGTAATGACACTTTTCGTGTTATACATCTTCTTGTAATGTTCTCACTACCTTCATATGTATGTTTTCGGGGTGAAAGAGGGACTATCTTGGCAATACCAGATTTATGTCTCGACAAATTTGGCAGCTTCTGTTCTTTTAAATTTATTTCCTCATGTTTAGAATGCCTAGCTGTGTTTCTAAATTTAGAAGGCTGTTTTGCAGAAGTTTCTTCTGTAAAAGAAGAATTATTTAAATCCTTTCTATAATTATCATTCACTTTTGGAGAAATTTTTCTTACAGTTTTATGCCCATTTTTTTCAAAGGGTGAGTAAATTTTTAATGCAGACATCTTATTTGCATTTCCTTCAAATCTTTTTTCACTGTGATAATGTTTTAAATGCGATGCCAATAGCTCTTCCTTACGGAAACTTTTAGTACATCCTCTAACTGAACACTTGAATTGATTGTGGTCTTCTTTAATAATGAATTGCTTAGTTGCAACTTTTACTTTTTTCTCACAATCAATTTTTAAAGGAGATTTAATACTTTTCTGAGGATATTCTTGAAGATCACATGCATGTTTTTTACGTTGAGCACCATCTTCTTTAAATAAAACAAGATAATCGTCCTCATCTAAACACTTCTTGACAACAGCTTCACACATATTATCCTTCCATTTAGCAAGAACTCTCTGCCCAACAACGAACGTTTTAGACTTGCTCTTTTCAGGTAACTTATTTATCTCAGAGGGTTTAAGATTATCACTTTCCATAGGAAACCATGAGTCATATCTTGCATTCCATTTTAAATAATGAATTTTAATTTTGTGTTTAGTCCAATCTATGTCAATAATTTTAGCATCATACCAATGAGATTTTTCTCTGACCTGTAAAAACTCTCCAAGCTTCCATTCAATACCCGGTCTTTGAGGAGCCATATCAGTATCACTAATGCTTCCTTCTTCTGGCAAATTTTGTTCCTTTTTAATATGAGCTACTTTTTTTGAACCAGAAATTTTGCTTGCAGAAGACTGCAGCTCGCTTTCATCTTTAATATTATTGATATCGGTACTTCTTTCTTCACTTTTAGTACTGACACCTTCTAAACACTCAACCAAAGCATTTAAAGCTTTCTCTGACGCTAAAACTACACAAGTTACATCTTCAGATTCAGGATTTAAAGTTTCTATTTTAGAATAAGAAAATTCTTTTGCATCTGATGCATTACTTTTACAAGGTACAGGACTGAACCAATCAATTTGCTGTTCATTTAAGTCGCTTTGTTGCAATAATGCATCAATTTCATCACATTTATACTTTTCTTCAATCTTTAGAGAATATTCTGTTTCATTATTATCACAGCCACTCCTCATTTTCTGCTCAACTGCTAAAGTGTCTATTGACATACTGCCATTCTTCGAGTCAGTTTTGGTCTCTGGAGCATCCATAGAGACGTCAGAGTCGGAATTTTCTAACACGAAATTTTTGTTATATGGCTCGAAATTTTTAATGCGTTGTGTTTCATTACTTACAAATGCTATTAAAACATCTTAAATATCGATTTCTAGATTTTTGAGCTTCCCTAGACATCTGGATCTACTGTTCAATGAATATACGCAAAAGATTTAATTAATTGCATTTATACATTAATGTGCATATTTAACGAATTTATTATTAGTGATAAACTGCTGCAAGCTATCAAATCATCCCTGGCAAAAAATATTCTAAACAAATTAAGAGGAATAGAATTACTATCAAAACCTAACACAATTCCCTGACGATCGCATCGGCTCAAATTAATTTTCACCATTCAGTTGTTTACGTTAGACGCAATACAGATCGATAGATGTTAACCAATCAGAGAGTCGAATTATACGAGAGATGGGAAGGACGGGAAAAAGAAAGAGGAATGTAAAAACGAAACCCAAAATTTATTCAATGCAATAATTTTCTGCGAAAGAAAGAAAGAAATTCTTTTTATTGATTTAGAAACTTCTGAAAATACTCAAAAGATCTTTATTTGTGCTATGATTTCGCCTCAGCTATACGCCAACGTCAGATTTTTCTGTTTTCATTTGCTATACTGTGATCTAACATGGATTACCATCTGTAATACGGTATTTTTGTATCAGTGCAATAAATAATACTTGAACTGTAATTATACGATGACAGTTTCCTTACACAGCTATGTAAAAGAAAGAACCTTGAATGGCCAAGCGTGTCTACAAAAGTAATGAAATGCAATGAACAGCTAGCTGCGAATTTCGTATTCCGGAACCAGCAATTTGGAAGATTTTGGAATTGCAACTGAAACCGTTGTTGCTTACAAGTATTTAGAGCTAGGACTTTTGCAATCAGAGGACGAAGAAATATTGAAAACGACAAGTTTGCCACCCGTCAGATATTCAAAGATGAACCAGTGCCTCATTTGTGCAGAGATGATCAGTGTTTGAAATCAATATTATCGAAATTGAAATTGAGCACAAAAATTCATTACCTCTACTATCTATATACCTCCTAATAATAGTACCATCATTCCTGAAATTGAACAACTACTGGATTTTAACTCACTTGCTTTAATTTGAGGAGACTTACACGCTGAGTATCAATGCTGGAATCTAGTAGTTAGCAATAGAAAACGACGAATTTTAGCATGATTCAAAATAAAAGTGATACCATTCATGCCACTAATGAGCCTACGCATTACGACTATAATAGCTCTTCTATCAATGACTTTTTTCTATCCAACAACCACGACTATAATTGCCAGCTCTCTCATCTGACCATAATATTCTTTATTCCAGCTCTCTCATCTGACCATAATCCCATCTTCCTTGAATTCAGCATAAATAGTTACTTACATTCACTGGACAGGAGGATCGGCGTCACAGCCTGGAAAAAATTCACAAAAATCCAGGGCCGTTCCTAGGCCATTGGCTGCCCGTGTACTTTTCTAAGATTGCCTCACCCAAATTAATTGATTAATAAAATTTTTATTTCATACTCAGGAAGTACTTACAATGATTTTAATGAATTTGAAATATTTAGGCGTGGTATCGCGAGAGGCCGGCCATCCCTGATTTTCCGCTCTTGACTCATATCTACTTCAGAGCGATGCAAACGCACTTATTTATATACTGGAAAATAGCGGTGTAGCACCAGGGTGCTTGGGTCAGAGACCCTACCCCTTGGTCGAATAAGTTATTTCCAATGATGCCAGTAAATAATTAGCATAAGATTAATAAACTATATACATATTTACAGAGTTTTTATTATCAAGTATTTTGCTGAGCATATTCAGGCAAGAATTATCTCAAAAATAGGAATCAGATTAAATGATGAATCTAATAAACCAAAGAGTGCGAGTAATCAGAGACCTGAAATGCCATCTGGAAGGCCTGAGAAGAGGAATGAGCTGGCTTAACCTATTTAAAACACTTAGTAACATGTAAAGAAGCAATAAGGCATATAGTGTGGGTCTCTTGGTGCACTTTTAAAAATTATTAATTACACAGAATTTTAATTAGTCACGCAATATAAAAGAAGCCCAGATCACAGCATAATACTTTAAATACAGATTGTTCAAGTTGGTTACTGAGAATGCCCATAGGTAGTTTACTGTTATTTTGGGTCATTTATATAGTAATCATACACCCTTATAACCAGGTTGTTGATGTTTTTAAGATTAGCATAAAATTTCCGGGCCATTTCCGGCAGTAAATATACTTCAGTAGTTCAATGCATAATTGATCATGTAACTTTTGATTCCGAACGTACCAAGGCGAGTTGGTTATCTGTCTTAGGACACAATTCTCTGCCTGCTGTTATTTTCTATAAGATTTGCATGAATAAACACAAACCGGGCAGGCGTAGCATAATATGTGACGCAATATGAGTTTATAAATAAGCAGCTTGTTGTCTATTGAAAGTACAGTGTTTCGAGAAATTAAGGGATGAAGCGCGACTTTACTAATTCGAAACTTTCTAAGGGTAGATGTGATGCGTGGTTTCTCTGAAAGAGTTACCGAGGATTACCCCAAGATAAAGGACTTGCTTGGCCCATAGACAGTGCTTAAATTGCGCCCGAGCCCACCCGATAACGGCTCCGGCAGTTCTCAATATTTAAGGTAAATTACAATTCTAGCCGGAGCGCATCGGAGCCCTAAATAAGACGAGCTCCGGTACTTCTTTTTATAAAATTGAGCCACAATTTCAAAGGGAACTAAATAGAATTCCTAACGTTTTAGTTTAACAATAAGCAGACTTTGCAAAACTCTATTTCCCTAGAAATACGAACTCATGAGAACATGAAACGTTTAAGTAAAGTTCCCACACTCACATGCGGAAACCTTTCCCTTTAAGAAGGGCAATAAATTTGGGGAGTTTGTTTAGGAACGCGTAAATTTCTCGCCATGCCATCATATCTAGTGTATTGTTATCGATGGTTACAGTTAGTTATCCACTCAGGAAGGAAAATTTGTGTTTTTAAATGTGTGTTAAGTGACAGCGAGTACAATAAGAGTGAAATACTGAAATAAACTGCTCAAGCACGTCCTATAGTCATGCTCCTATGCTCAAGCATCGTCTTCCTACAGTATCCACTAATGTAACCAAATACGGGGGCGAAAAGTCTAACTAGCAACTTTACATTCATCCTTAGGACTCATTTTAAGCCGGACACGCATCTGCTTGATGGCTATAATTATATCAGCAGAGAGCCGCGGTCAAAGAGAACGTTTTTTCCCACCAAGATTTCCCTCATTTTTTGTTTCCATCCACTCATACCCTCACGCCCTCATTCTGTTTCGTCATGTTTTTAGCATTATCTAAATTTTCATCAGCTATACTTTAAGTATGTTTAATTTTTGTGATGATAAAAGACCTTTTTTTTTTTTTTTTTTTTCCCCTTTACGATCAGAGCTTCAATTGGGCCGGTGCTTCTGAGTTTCTGTAATAAATCATAATTCTAGCCGGAGCGAATCGGAGCCCTAAATAGGAAGGCTGCAGCACTTCTTTTATGTAATTGAATAACAATTTCAGTAGAAATTTTATCTCGAAAATTTTATTTTTAGCAATAAAATTATATTAAAAATAGCTTATTAAATTTTAATTTATCTCTTCACATTTAATTTAATATTAATTATTTAATTACTTAATCTTTAATTTTCAATAAATAAAAATTAATAAATTATCTAATAATTATCAATTGATTATAATTCATTAATTATATAATAATTATTGATTACATAACAATTAATAAACATTAATTAAATAGCTATTAATTAATTTGATAATAATTAACTCTTTAATTTTAAAATTATTAATGAGTTTAATAGTCATTTTATTTATTTATTTACTCTTGCTCGTCTTTGCTGACGGTCTTTCATAGGGTTTAAAAAAACTCAAAATATCTATATTAAAAATTACGAAGTAAATCTTAAACACTTATTTCCTCGAAAAAATTCCAGAAAGGATTAAGCATGATTTAATTGGCAATAATAAATGAAGATTATAATAATAAATCTTTGTTGTGACGAAGCTAAGTTTCTCTAGATTGGAAACAAATCCACTAGTCTGCTGTTTCAAATGTAAACAACCAATGGCCGCCATAAAAAAAATGGCTTAGCGGCATTTAAACAATTTTAAAATTGTTCATAATTCTAAAAATATTGCATACAGATTTACTAAAGGCGTAAAACCTTAACCGGAAGATAAAAAGAACATAATTCAATCATTTTTAAAGCAAAAAATGTACAATTTACAAACATATACGAGTAAAAAAACTGAGATCACTGAGCCAGGTAACAGAGTGAATATATATATATATATATATATTTATATACGTTTGGTGCGGCCGATTGCAACCAAAATACGAGGAGGTGCACATCTACATGTTATAGCAGTCCTATATACAAAATTTCAACGTTCTGAAGCTACTCGTTTTTGAGTTATGCGAGATACGTACGTACGTACGTACATATGTTCGTACAGACGCCATGAAAAATTATCTTCAGAATTAATTTTAAAGCAGTTTTATAATTTTTTTGGAGGAAACGAGTCTTTTATTCTGTCCTTACGTACAGATATCACGCAAAAACATTGTTAATTTGCATTCGATAGCGGTCAAAATGGATATTTTCGTTGAAATATGCTGCCTGAAACTTTTCACGATTACAATATTTCCTTTTTACTTCATACAAGGAAGTAAAAATCGATAACAAAAGAGAGAATTAATCTCTCTTAACTTAGCGTTTGCCTTAAGCGAGTTCGGGATAAGAGAGGTTTACTATACAATTTACGACAGAACAGCCAATGTTGTATGCAGAACACTTAAAAGATTTTGGAGGTCCCACATATGTTTGAACCATTTTTTTAAAATCATACCTTCTGTCTCTGAGTTTGGTTTAGCTGCACCATACACGTCATGGTAAAACCGCCAATGGGAAAATTTTTTAGTGTTCCCCTTCCTGGATACCTAAATACCTAAGAACCTTCTTGCGGTGCCTCCTTTCCATGATGCCTTCAGCACGTGCTTACATTGATTAGTGGTTAATCCATCCCTGGTTGTGCGTTTCTCAAATGGTTCGCATAGACACGCCGCTATTATGTTTTTTTCAGCATTTCCACTTTGTTTGCAATCGAAAATGATATTTATTTTTTGCGTTACTTTCTTTATTTGTTGAATGTATACAACAGCACGCAGATGATAAAATGAGAAGGTCTGAGCAAGTATGTGCAAGCAAGATGATCCAAAAGCTGTTTCTGAAGTACAGGCCTATCAAAACATAAATTTTGTCTCCAGGAAA